CTGGGCACTGTCTGATTACACTCTAGATTTGGGAAGAGTGGATTTCAAAGGGTTCAGGGGAAAGGTAGATAAGATCTTCAGGGGTAAAATTCTATAGGGCAAGTCAGTTCAAAAGAGGTAGAAAGCTCTCAAGAATGACATTCTGAAAATACAAAGAGAAACAATTCTGTTCAGGAAGAAAAGAGTCTAACAAGATTAATGTGATTACCAAGGAACTCATTGACTAGATGTTAGGAAGCAAAGTCAGGTAATTTAAGGATTAGCACAAAAGACTGGCATAGTTTTTAATAATAAAGTCACAAAAGGTAAGTTAAGAAGGACTCTTGCCTTGCTGGACAATTAAGGACAATTAAGCAGAGCTTTTTAAGCCATTTTGAGCATGAGAAGAAGATCAAAGAAGTGATATGACCACAGATTGGGGTGGATGAGATGATGATAACAGAGGAAGAACTACTTAACTCTTCTTTTGCTTTTGTTTTCTTTGCCGAAGAGAAGAGTGTATAGACTGGGAAACATGTAGCAAAAATGATTAGCAGAGAGTTTAAACCAAAGATAAGTAAAGTGATTATAAAAGACCTCCTTATTTACTAACTTCTGTGTGTTCAAGTCTCCAGACCCAGAAAAACTAAATACCTGGGTACTGAAAGAAATGGTGGATGGGATTGCTGAGCTACTGTCAGTGATCTATGAAAGATTTTGGAGAATAAGAAGTGGACTACAGGGCTGGAGAAGGGTGATTTCAAAAGTGATTTCAAAAAAGAAGAGGTCTGTGCCCTGTAAACTGGTGAGCTCATCTTCAATTCTTAGAAAATGTCTAACTTACAATACTAAAGATATGGGTTGTGGGCATTAAAGTAAAGCAATGATCATTGAAAGCCAGCATGGTATCATCAAAAATAAAACATCCCAGATTATAATGATTTTGCTTTTTTTGATAGGGTTGGTAGATTAGCAGAATAGGGAAATTCTGTAGACATATCTAGGTTTTTGCAGCATCTGATAAAGTCATTTTTGCTATACTTATTGATAAGATGGAGGAAAAAACAGACTAGATGATGATAAAGTTTGGTAAATTCAGAACTGACAAAACCCAAGGAGTCTACTAATAGTCTGATGTCAACTTGGATGAAATTCATTAGTGTGGCATGCCAAAGATCAGTCCTTGGCTCTGTGCTATACAGAACTGGCACCAGTGACTTAGAAAAAGCCCCAGTGGTTTCAGATTTGCAGATGTCCCAAAGAAGAAAGACATACATGACAAATTGGTAATGGAGTGAAGATCCAAAAACAGTTCCTGATAGGCTAGAATGATGGGCTAATAAGATTTAATATAATAAGATGAAATTTAATAGAGATAAGTATAGATAAGATCCCTACACTTGGGCTAGAAAAAAAATCACCCCCACCCTCACAAATAAAGGCAAGGTGATGTTATGGAAAGATTGTTGGTTTTGGAGTCAAGGACTTGGGTTGAATCCCACCTCTGCTCCTTGCTACTTCTGTAACTTTATTCAGGTTCCTTAACCTCTCCAGGCTTCAGTTTTCCTTTCAGCAAGAAGGTTGGTATGGATGATTTCCCTTCCAGCTCTTAGTCATTGATCGTAATATAAAGAGCATGAGTTTAGCCTAGCATTCATATTTCAAAAATATGAGTTATCTTATTTAGTGAACTAAGAGTGCAGCTATTCACAAATGTAAAACCAATTGGATGAAGAATGTCTGTTATCCAGACTATAATATGCAGTTGATTTGTCTAGTCTTAGATCCTGTCTCTTAAAAGCTATATTATGAATAGAGATTGAGTGGGCAGTAAACCAAGCTTAGAACGGAATTGGAGGAGGAGATATCAGTAGGACCTGCGGTCAAATCCTGGCTCTACCACTTAGACCTATTGGAACTTAAACAACTTGCTTTACTCCCTCGGGCCTCAGTTTTATCATCTCAGTCAATCAGCATCTATTAAGTGCCTATTATGTGTCAGGAACTGTGCTAAGTGCTCCGGATACAAAAAGAAGCAAAAGACAGTCCCTGCCTTCAGTGAGTTTACAATCTAACAAGGGAGACAGCATACATACAAGCAAATATATACAAAGGAAAATATATGCAGGATATGGAAGATAATTAAAAGAAGGAAAGCATTGGAATCAAAAGGGGTTGGGGAAGGCCTTGTGTAGAAAGTAGGATTTTAGTTGGGATTTGAAGGAAGGCAGGAAAGTCAGTAGTTTTAGTGTAGGAATAAGAGCATTCCAGGAATGGGGGACGGCCAGATAAAATACCCAGAGCTGAGAGATGGAGTGTCATGTTCGTGGAATAGCCAGGAGGTCAGTGTAACTGGATAGAAGAGTACTTATTGGGGAATAAGATGTAAGAAGACTGAAAATGCAGGAGGGGACTAGGTTATGAAGGTCTTTGAATGCCAGAATATTTTGTATTTGCTTCTGGAGGCGATAAGAAGCCACTGGAATTTATTGAATGGGGAGAGGGGGTAATGGGCATGTGTTTTAGGAAAATCACTTTAGTGGCTGAATGGAGAATTGATTGGCGTTGGGCGAGATGAGGGAAATGTTGAGGTCCTTTCTAGCTCTGAATCTGTGATCTCATTATTCTATATTTAGTATTCTTCCAGTGACTATATATGAAGAATTAAAATTGCAGGCCATTGAAAGAGCATGGTGGTCCCTAATGTGTTACCAAGGAAGAGCTGCAAAGGGAAAGCAGGTAAAGGACATATCAAAGAAATGTGACTAGGAAAGGAAGTGTACCAGTGATGTAGTGAGAAAAAGGGTTAACCAGTAGAAAGTTTGTATATTCAATTGGTATTCATGTAATGTTAATAGATATAGAGGGAGGCCTCTAGCATGTTGGGCAGACCTCCATGCTATGGTTATAGGATGACATGGACAAGAACAGGATGAGAAAGAATATGGATCGCAGTGCTGTGCTGCTGGAGTATTCACATGAATGTAATCACAGATCCACAAGAGTATTGAGAGCTCAATGCAAGTCAGCAGATTAATATGCTAATCCAGAAAATCTGATTAATTCTTGGGCTGCTTTAAGAGACCCATAGTCTCAAAAATATGGAATATGAAAGTCCTATTGTACTCAGGTAGCTAGGTGCCACAGTGGATAGAATGCTAGACCTGGAGTTAGAAAGATCTGAGTTCAGATCTAGCCTCTGATACTTACTAGGGATGTGACGCTGAGTGAGTCACTTATCTTGTGTCTGTCTCAGTTTTCTCATCTGTAAAATAAGGACAATAGCAGTGCCTACCTTCTAGGGTCTCTATGAGGATAAAAGGAGATAATATTTGTAAAGCTCTTTGTAAAACTTAAATCATCATGTAGATATCAGTAATCGTTGTTGTGGGTGTTGCTGTTGACTCTGTCATGATCTCATTCGGAGTGCTGTAGTTCAGGAAAGACATTGAGAAGCTGAATCATCTCCAGAGGAGCAAGACTAGGATGGTAAGGGGTCCTGAGATCCTGCCATATAATGCTTGATTAAAAGAATGAAGTTGGGTTATAAAGGAAAGACGTAGAGGAGTGGGGGTCGTACAGGACATAAGAGCAGCCATCCAGCCATTTGAAGGGCTGTCACGTGGAAGAGGAATTACTTATTCTGCTTGGTCCCAGGATACCAGAAAATGGTAATAAATAGAGAAACAGATGAAAGTTGCAGCAAGGCATATGTAGGGGCCAAGTCAGGGAAGACTTTTGAAATGTTAGAGCTGTCCAAAAGTCAAGTGGACTGTCTTGGGAAATAGGTGGTTCTCCATCACTGGAGGTCTTCAAGAGGAGGCTTAAAAAAGAATTGCTTGATAACTTTATTATGTATTTAAAAGAAATATCAAGTTATATATAATACATCTGCAGTTTCACATATGATCATCCTTTTTTTTCTATTCTACTATGTATGTATATCATGTAATCTACTATCCTACTATATATTCTACTATTATGGAAATACTTGTTTTAATTCTTAAATTTACAATAAAATAATTTTTTTAAAAAGAAGAGGCTTTGCCAGGGATGTTATAATGGTGATTCTTGTTAACATGTGGGTTAAGCTAGATCAGACATCTTTAGCCATTTTTGTGTCATGGACCTTGGGGATTTTAGTGAAGCTTTTGTAACCTTTCTCAGAAGAATGTTTATAAATGCATAGAATAAAATACGTAGGATAACAAAAGAAACCAATTATATTGAAATAAAGTCATCAAAATATTTTTTAAAACAAGCTTATGGACCCCAGATTAAGATCTCCTAGATGAGATAGTCTTGGTGGTTCCCTTAAATTTTGCAATTCTATACTTCTGGATTGCAGAAATGTAATCTTAACCCATCCCTATATGATCATGGTCAATTGTTCTCCCCCTCTTTAAAGCTATACAGAAAGAAAAACTGGCAAGCCTATGGATTACTCATATTATTCGTATCAACAGCCCGTGCTGTTGTGAAGTTCTTCTCTACACATAAAACCTAGCTCAGTAACTTACACATAGCAGGCACTTGACTAGTACTGGCTGTCTTGAATGAAGGGCAATTACTTATACTGGAGTCCAGCACTCTGGCATCATTAAATTGAAAAGGGGGAAACATGGGAAGGAACAAACTGGGAAAACACAGGCTCAGAGAGGGTCAGTAGGAGATAAAGAAGAGGATACAATAAAATTCAACCTTAGACAAAGAACACAGTTGCAGGCCATATGTCTGTGAGGAAGTATTCTACAAGGCATCTGTTTTTGTTTTCTCTGTAGCTGGAACAATTAAATTTCAGCAAGAGGGATTTAAGTTAGATGAAGTTAGATATTGTGGAGGACTCCGTTAGTGTTTGCTTTTCCTGGAAAGCTTCTGGCAAGGGAATACTTAAGAAAGAGGCAGATGACATTCTCTATGGGGCTGTTGTATTGCAATCCTTCTCAGAGGTCATGAAATAGTCTAGGTGACATCTTTCTTTTTAAAGTAAGTTTATTCACATATTTTATTTTAAATCGCCTTCATTTCCTAATAGATTGTTTCATTCTTCCTCTCCCAGAGAAGTAACCCTTATAACAAAGAGAGAAGGAACAATTCTGTAAAACTCACCAACACATCAACTAAGTTTAGCATTATATGCAGTGTTCCACACCTCTACTATTCCACACCTGTAGTGCTCTACCCCTACAAAAAAGGGAGGAAGTTGTCTTTTCATATCTTTTCCCTGGGACCAGTTTGGTCATTATGATATGTAGCATTCAGTTTTGAATTTTGTGTTTTTTGTTCCGTCTTCATTGTCATAGTTGCTGTGTTTATTTTCCAGGTTTTACTTGCTTCACTTTGTATCAGTTCATATGAAGTCTTCTTATGCTTTTCTGAATGATATTTTGGTGCATTTGGGATTTTTTCTACTGTCTTGATGGCATCTCAATGTCCCTTGAAGTCTGAGAATTTCAGGAAAGACTGATCCTAGCAATGGGCATTGCTCTTGTCCTAGGACTCAGTCTTCATGTTTTTCTTTTGGACACTAGGAAACGCCTACTCAGGCCTTACTTGGTTCAGAACTCCTGGGAACCTTTGTTCTCTTAAGGTCATTCTAGTTACTGAAGTATTCTGCTTCTCCATAAAGACATGCTCTTATTCCTAAGCAACCTCAATGGAATTCTAGAATCTTAAAGCCAGGTAGGACCCTCGAGATCATGCAGTCCATCCCCTAACTGCAGTAGCAATGTGTACGTTTCCAGTTTTGGAAGGGATTTTATGAGCTGAATTTAATGTCAAATCAGAAATTACAAAATGCTTATGAGTTCTGCTCTAGTCTATTGGAAATAATTCAGATTTTTGGCACTGTTTCCACACAGAGCAAGTCTTTTTATAGCATAGAGTAAGCTGATGGGAAAAAAAAACCCTCTGTAGGTGTGTGTGTTTGGGGGTTTGTTTGTTTAACATGTCCAAAAACTAGAGTGGTGTGTGAAATATTTGCTGTACCATTATAATTGGGTTACATTTTTAATTGGCTTAAGTTACTACTTCAGTGGATTTCTGCACTACTGCACCTGGTGGTTCATTACAGTTGTAGACAGCACACTGACGGACTTGTAAGAGATGAGGAGAAGCAAACTAAAATCCATACTGTGAATCATTTTATACCAGAGCCTCATGCTGGATTAGCATATAGATATGTTTCCTACATTGGGTTCTCTTGTGCAAGAAAAAAGGTGTCATCAAAGATGCCAAAGGCCAAATAAAATTAATTATGTTGCTGCAATAATATTCATAAATTACTCTAGACTTTATGTTGTAATAATTTATTCATGTTATTTGGAGTCTCTTGATTTTAAAGGCTCTGGACCTGTGATTTTATTACTCTAGGGAATTCCCAGTGAAGAATTTCTTTCACTGATGCAGAAGAGCACCTATTGTGAAATTTATAGTCTTAGAGCGTTGCCTGAGTTACTAAGAGATTAAGTGACTTGCCTAGTATCACACAGCTTATATGTCACAGGCAGGACTTGAACCCAGACCTTCCTAATTTCAGGGCCAGCTTTCTATGCACTGTGCTATGCTGCCTCTTGCCTGTCACATAGTTTTCACTAATGTGCTTGCTGAATTGAATTATTGGGCAGCTCTAATTATTAGGTGCTTCTGCCTTACGGTGAGCCAAAATTTGCCTCTGTATAGCTTCTCCCCATTAATCTTAGTTCTCATACCTCTGGAGCAAGTAGAATAAGTTTATTTACACCTTTGGAATCCCTTTGAGCTTTGAATTATTGGAAACATCAAGTTCTCTTTCCTGTAGGTTTTCCAGCTCATTAAGCCAGCTTAGTTGAGGCTACAACCTATTCCAATTACATTTGGGTTTTTCTTGCTCTGTGGTTGTCCATTAGTCAGAGATTTATCCACAATATTTCTTTATGTCTAGGTGGGAAAGGAATACCTCAGACTATTTATCCTTCTCTCCAATTATTTGGGGGGTACAACTGATTCAACTTTCCTGCTGAAAAGCTGTACATCATTGTCCCACTTGCCATTTTCTCTAGTATTCTGTTTCTTCATCAGTCATGGTTGGGTATGGGCGATCTAAGTCAGGGATGAACTTGATGGCATAAAGCTGATTTCAGGATTGGGTGGCAGAGGATGGAGGAGAAATAGTAATAGAACCATTAATTTCCACTTATCCACTGCTGCAGTTACTCACGAGCAGATTCTGACCAGGATAACTATTTGTCAATTTTTCTGAAATTCATTCACTCACTAAGGAGAGCATGATCTGGCTCATGGGCTGATCTGAGGTTCAGGAAGGAAGCCACATTTCTGTTCCATTAACCATACCACAGTATTAGAATGTTAGAGTTGGAAGGGACTATAAAAACCATGTAGACAAACCCTTCTTTTATAGATAGGCAAACTGAGGCCCCAGAGAGCTAAAGTTGCTTGCCTCTGGTCACCTAACTCCAAGGATGTGTTTGACTCTCTCCCAGCTGTAAGGTAGAAGTGAGCCAGCTCCTTTAGGAAAGCTCGCTTTGACTCATCACACTAGTAAGTAACTCTGAGCAGCTGTATCCTTGTTCACATATTTCCTTCAGTGTCCTTGCATCATTGTCTTTTGTGTGTGCCCTGGCTCCCCTATTAGATTGCAATGAGTCAGGTAGTATGACATAGAGAAGAGAACTTGGCCAATGAGGAGTCAAGAAACCTGGTTATTATTCCTGGCTCTGTCTCTCAATGTGTCACTTTAGGGAAATCACATCCCCGCTCTAATTCCTCTTCTATTTAATGAGTGGTTTGGATTTCAAGATCTCTGAGGTCTTCCTAGTTCAGTTTTGTTACTCAATAGAGCCTGGTATGGATAGAATTCTACCTATATAGAAGGTGTGCCTAGCTCAATACTGATCACATAATGGGTAGAAGTAATTTTGGAGACTATTCTAATAATTTTAAAATTGTCAGCATTAATGAACAACACACTCCACCGACTATCTTCTGCTTGATTCTTTTTCAGGACTTAGCTACTTGCCTTCCATTTTAAGGCAACTCCATGTTGTCTGTAGAATCAATAAATCAACAGGTATTGATGAAATGCATACTATATACAAGCATTGTTCCAGGCATTGGAGACTGAAAGACAAAAAATGAAACAGTCCCTTCTCTAAGGGAGCTCACATTCGATTATGGTAAAATAAAATGCTAACTTATCTAGTCCTTCCTACCTTTCCAGTCTTCTTACTTTCCTCCTTGTACTCCAGAACAAACAAAGCTGGTCTACCTTACTGTTCCTCCCATACAACACTCCATCTCCTGACTCCATGGCTTTTCACTGGCTATCCTCCATGTGTAGAATGCCCATATTCTTTTCTCTGTCTCCTGGCTTCCTTCAAATATCACCCCAAATCCCACCTTCTACAAGAAGCCTTTCCCAAATGCCTCTAAGACTAATGCTTTCCCTTTGAGATTGTCTCCAATTTATCCTGTATTTATCTTGTATGTTCATAGTTGTTTCCATCTTGTCCCTTCCATTAGAATGTGAGATCCTTCAGAGCAGACTTTTCTTTGTATAACCAATGTTTACCACAGTGCCTGTAACAAAGTAAACACTTATTAAATATTTCTTGTTCTCATTGTTATTGTCCTCTGGCATATACCCTTCATTTTTTCAGGCTTATTACATAGTACTTTCCTTCACATACTCAATATTTCAGCTAAAATGACCTAACTTTCTCGATAGTGCTTGTATATATCGTTATATCTCCCATTCTTGTTCCTTATGCCTAGAATTCATTCCTTCATCTCTTAGAATCCATAGCCTGCTTCAAAGATGAGTGAGGTCAAGTGTACCTCTGACATAAAAGCTTTTCTGATCTGTCCTCTAATTACTTTGTTTTTGTACATATTGCATACTTACTTGTTTGTGTACACATTGTTTCTTTAAATGTAATACCTCTGTATTGTAGTCTTTGCCGGGATCTTATTATGCCTGATATATAGTAACCAGTTAAGAAATGCTCATTGAAGACTTGAGGGCAGCGCTATTTCATCTTTGTCTTTTGATCCATAACAGCTATCTAATAACTGGTTTTTGATTGATTGGTATATCGAGTGATTGATTGGTTGGTGTGGAGGAAGGTCAGAGGAGGCTATAGAAATAATAGTAGAAATAAGACCTATGATTTTGAAGAAGTTTAGTGAGGTTGAGGTTATTTAGTGTGGAGAAGAAATGACTGGATCTCAAGGTAATGGAGACAGGACATTCAGCAAACATTTATTTGAGTCTAAAAAATACTGTGCTGAGCCCTGGAAATACAAAGATGAAGTATATGACTCAGTCTCTGCCCTCAGGGATCTACTGAAAATTAACCAAGTTTATATTGCTTTCATACCCTGGTTATAGTATCCCCTCTTTTGTCTCCCCCTTCCCCATATGTGTGTGAAAGTCCGCCTGCTCATCATTTCTTATAGCACAATAGTATTCCATTACATTCGTGTACCACAACTTGTTCAGCCATTTCCCAATTGATGGGCATCTCCTCAATTTCCAATTCTTTGCCACCACAAAAAGAGCTGCTATAAGTATTTTTTATACATGTGGGTCCCTTTAAGGACCCCTCTTTCTAGAACTAGACAAAATAATAACAAAATCCATCTGGAAGAAAAAAAGGTCTAGAACCAGAGCTCTTAAACTGGGTCCGTCAGCCTTTTTTCCAAACTATTTTGATAGCTGGATTTCTTTTTTTCCCCCTACTAATATTTAAATTTTTCCCCAATAACATGTTAAAACAATTTTTAGTGTAAATATAAAAATTTTTTTTAAAGTTTTGAGTTTCAAATTCTATCCCTGCCTCCTGATAACTAGATTTCAATCAGTATATTTGGTTTCCTTTATAATCTTCTGTATTTTATGTGATGTACGTAAAACATTCTTCTAAGTAGGCATTCATAACCTTCACCAGATTGTCAAACAGGTCAGCATGGCCTATTTTAGACTGATTTGGGGTTACCAAGTATTCCTTCTTAAGTAATGGGACCAAAAGTCCAAAGTCATCCAGTGGGGTTGAACTAGTGGAGCTGAGACCCTGACACATCTTACCTGGCTGAAAAGGATTTGAGTATGGGCTGTCAGTTGGGTGAAGACTTGGCTAGGCCTTGGCTTTGTCTCTTCAAGAAGATAGTACACAAAGATGTGGAGTCATTTTGATTTATATCCATGGAGGGCATATTCACACCGATAAACCACAGGCCCTTAAAGAATTGAAATGGAAAAAGTGCTGGAGTTGGAGTTTAAAGATTTGGGTTTGGGGCAGCTAGGTGGCACAGTGGATAGAGCAATGGCACTGGAGTCAAGAGTACCTGAGTTCAAATCCGGCCTCAGACACAACACTTACTGTGTGACCCTGGGCAAGTCACTAAACCCCACTGCCCAGCCCCCCCCCAAAAAAAGATGTGGTTTAGAAACTCAGCTCTGTCACTGACTAGCTAAATGACCTTAGATAACATCTCTGAGCTTTAGTTTCCTCATCTGTAAAATGGAGGTGATAACATTTTCATTACCTAGGTCACTGAGCTGTTTTGAGGATCATATTTAATGAAATTAAGTTTGTGAAACTATTTGTGAAAAATTTATAACCATAAAGTACCATGTAAAATTATTATTGCTGTTGTTGTTAACAGCATGGTGTAGTGGATAGATAATTGGCTTCAAAATCAGAAAGTCCTGGGCTGAGTCACTTCTGATATGCTGGCTGGATAACCCTTGGCAAGTTAATTAAATGTCCAGACCTTTAGGCAACCCTCTAAGACTGCTGACCTACATTGATAAGAGGGAGGTTCTTTATGTAGGAATTCCCTATTCCATAGAAATCATCAATCCTATCCTTATCTCCTACCACTATTACTATTATGTGGCCAGTTTTTAATGTATTATTAACCTTATTCCAATCTCAGCTTTGCCTCTGATTTGCAAAGAACCCTTAATGAGCCACCATCTTACTTTGTGTATAGATGTATACATCTATAGGTGTATAGGTGGTGCAGTGGATAGAATGCGGGGCTTGAAATCAGAAGATCTGAGTTCAAATATGATCTCAGACATTCACTAGATGTGTGACCCCTGGGCAAGTTACTTAGTCCTGTTTGCTTCATCTTCCTCATCTATAAAATGAGCTGGAGAAGGAAATGGCAAACCACTCCACTATCTTTGCCAAGAAAACTCCAAGGGGTCACAAAGAGTCAGACACAACTGCAAATGACTAAACAACAATAGATATATATTTATGTGACATAGTAGGTGGAGTGGAAGAGAAAAACTTACCCAGATCCTGTGAGAGGAAACTGGGAAAAGAAAGCAGAGCATTCCTAAAGCCTCCAGATAGCATCCCTCCCTCTCTTCTTCCCCAGTGTCACCTGACAGGGTGGTTTCCTGGAGAGCATGCTTCAGGCCTAGAACAAAAACAGACCAGTTGCCAATACCTCCCTCTCATGAAAGGAGGCCGACACAGAGTAGGCCTGGGAATGAAGAGAGCCAGATGTAGGCTATGTTTGGCAAAGGGCTTCATTCCAGGATCTGGGATCTAGGGTAGCTGCTGCCATTTGACCACGCTCTTTATGTTAAACTCTCTTTTGGGCCAAACCCACATGGTTAGAGTTGATCCAGAGCCATACTGACAATGATGCTATGGCAAAGGCTGAGAAGGGGGCTTGGGTGTTGCCAAACCATCTGTGGTCTTGGTTTGGGAGGAATAGCTGGGAATCAGGATGGAAGCCATGTTTAGCTTGTGGGATTCCCTCTAGTTTGTAAATCTGAAGATTAAATCCAGCCTTTTTCCTTACTTCATACCGAGTCATCTTTGGCCTGGCAAGGACACAGTGCTTTATTACTTGTATTATTATTAATTAGTAGTTCTATTCCAATGCCTCATTATGGAATGGAACTAACGCAGAATTTTCAAAGGCTAGAGCACAGTCTCACATAGCTAGAATTTTCTAGCTACTAAAGCTAGGAAAAAACTCTAAGAAGTCTCAGCCATAGTCTTAGGTGGTTGTCATTCAAGGCTCACTCTTGCTAAAGTCAGAGAACATCATCTTCAGCTGTACCAGATGATGAACATTTTTGGTTATAGCAGCTCACAAACCATCTATTAAGATGTGTATAGTTTGTGACCTACATTGTTTGAGGGAATGTTACACTGGTCAAATTATAGAATCGTGTAAGCATACGTAAAGTACTTTACAGTTACTAAGTCATATCTAGCAAGCTAGGTGGCAGAGCAGATAGAATGCTGACTTACTAGCTCTGTAGGCAAACCACTCAACTTTTGTGTGCCTCAGTTATCTCATCTGTAAAATGGGAATAATACTATCACCCACCTCTCAGGATTGTTGTGTGGATAAAATGAGTTATTTTGGAAAGCACTAGCTGAATAGATGCTAGCTGTCATTATTACATTGGATACTTCGTTTTGATGCTCATGAAAATCTTGTGTGGTATCTGATATAAAGATTATTCTTATTTTCAGATGGCAAAGCTGAGAGGTAAGAGCGTTGCCCAAGGGAAAATAGCAGAGACAGAACTTTAAGCCAGGCTGTTGGACTCTAAAGTCCAATGTTCTTTCCCTTGCAGGGCTTTAAAGAGACTTTAGGAATCAACCAATGGAACCTCTTCATTTTATAGACCAAAGAGGTGAAATCACTTTTCTATTCTCATACAATTAGTGAGAGAGCTTCTACTAGAACCCAGATCTCCCGACTCCCACTTGTGTCCCCACTTATTCCCATAATTAAACAGCCTGATCTAGAGCTCTTGGAGACAAATTCAGTTGGAGTGCCTGTGCCAGTGAAGTTACAGATCCTTGAGCATCTATTAATGTTCAGAGACATTTATGAATTTAAAAGCCTTAGTCATAAAAGAAGCCATTGTGTTGCACACACATGCACATACACACATGTAAAACTGGAGGCAGAAAAGCAAACCTAGCGTCTTTGTGATGGAACAGCTCTTTGAGAGGAATTTGAATTCTTTCCATGTGACTTGAAACAAGCCATCCCACTTCCTTTCCTTCTTTTCTAAAACAGAGTCCAACAGATGCCCAAAATGCACCTAAGTAAAGTCATTAGCTATTTTCTTCACCAGCCAACAGAATAATAGCTCACAGTTGTACAGCCCTTTTCAGCTTACAAAGTGCTTTTCTCACAACCCTGAGAGGTAGGTGGTTTGTGTGTTATTATACCCATTTTTAGATGAGGAAACTGAGGGTAAGAGACATGAAGTTACTTATTCAAATTCATACAGTTAAAGTAGTAGAAGTAGAACTCAACCTTTTTTTTTCTTTTTCTATGAATCCAGTATGTTTTCAATTACATGACAATTCCCTCAGACTGAGGCTTTGAAAGGTTAAGTGACTTGCCCGAAGTTACATTGTTTACAAAGTAAACAAAACTGTATGTGGTAAAACATAGTAGTATAAGATCCGAGATTGAGGAGGAAACTAAGAGATCATCTAGTTTGACCCTTACCAGAAACACGAGTTCTGTCTATTACATCTACAAGAGAGGTAATGAAACCTCCAGGTGCCTTCCAACTATCAATTATGTGATATTGTCTCCCTGTAAATTCCTTGAGGACAAGAGACTTTTTTCATTTTTTCTTTGTATCACAGGTATGTGGAATGTACCCTAAAAAATGTTTGGTGATTTATTGATTTTAATTTTAATTAATTCATTTAATTCTTTTTTTCCCTTTTAAATGGCATTTTATTTTTTCCAATTACGTGTAAAGACATTAATTCTAACTGATTTTAATTTTCAGATGATCAACTCTTGAGGCTATGTGAAGGAGCTAGACAGGGGAACCATGCTGGAGAGCACTTGAGTGAAGAGAGAGAAGAAATGGAAGGGCTGATTTGACCCCTGAACTAGAAATAGAAGAGCAGCCTCTGCGTATATGTAATAGTGAGGGGCCTGAATCACGTGCCACTCAAGAAGAGGTCAAAGAAAATGGGGATGTTAGGCTCTAAGAAGAGAAGACAGCAGACATAACAATTACCTTCAACAATTTGAAGGGTTATGTTATATAGAAGAGGAATTAGGCCTCCTTTGCTTGACTCTAGAGGGTAGGAGGAACAGTGGGTGAAAGTATCTTATTTTAGAAGACTGTTTATTCCTGATAGAAGGAATAACTTGTTAATAGTTCAAGCTACCCAAAAGTAGAATAGGCTGCTTCAAAAGCAAAGAATTTTTAGTATTACTAGAATTCTTCAAGTAAAGGTTGGATGTTAAAGGGGAGAGTCTTTTTTTTTTTAGATAGAAATAAGATCAGCCTGGCTTTTGAGGCTCCATCTAACTCTGAGCTTTTATGATTCTTTGACTTGATCTGCTTATCCCTAGTGGTTATAACCAGGACCAATTAGCAGAAGTTACAGGGAAGCAATTTTTGGCATCACATAAAGCAAAACTTCAGATAAGTTAGAGCCATCCAAAAGTGGAGTGGGTACTTTTGCCAGATAATAAGTTCCCTGTCACCAGAGGTGTTCAGAAAGAGATTAGATGACAAAGGGGATATAACAAAGTGGATTCATGCTTCCAGTAAAGGTCAAACTAAATGTGCTTTAAGCTTCTTTCCAATTCTGGGATCATGTGCTTCCTTGTTTTACTTAGGAATGAAGTCCAATAGTTCTTATGTGAGTCAGTGCTTCGAATACTTCAAGACAGATCACATCTCCCCATGTCTTCTTTTCACCAGGTTAAACATTCCCAGATCCTTCTGCCTTTGCATCATATAGGTTGGTTTCAAGTCCCCTCAACTCCTTGAAGATAGCAAAGATGGTGACTTATCTATAAAATATGGCACCTAAAACTGAACACAATTCTGCATGCTTGATCTGAAGGAGAGGCTAACACTCCCCTAGTTAAGGACAACATTTCTTTTCATAGGGCATTAGATTCCATTAAAAATGGATTGTATAAAGGTTGGATTTGTGTAGCTTATGCTCCATTTCCTCAGTTATAAGAGAACAATGACATGCTCAAGCAGAAGCAAAATCCTTTTATAATCCAAAGACATTATTGGGCCAATAGCCTCATCTCCTTCAGCTTTTCTCTCCTGATCCTTAACTGTCCATCCTCAGACAGATAGAATACAAAGTATGTGAAACTGGAGAAGGTTTGTGCAAGAGGGAGAATTTGGGTTTGAAGTATGTGAAACTGGAGAAGGTTTGTGCAAGAGGGAGAATTTGGGTTTGGGTTGGCTAGTGTGATATCTCAATACCAAGGCCCATCCACTATTCTTTGTCAGGACAGGTTACTTGCTTCAGCAGGCACTAGGGTTTCTGGGGCCTCAGGGAATCTCAGCACTAACTTCTTTCACAGAGCTATTAGTTAACATAGCTTTGACATGTGCCATACCTTCCCATTCTCATTGCCTCAGGGACAGAGGCGGGTAATGTTTCCAGTAACAAGAAATCCTTCTAACAGCAGCACAGTGCAAGCTCACTGCCTTCGGTTTTTTCTCCATTTCAGAACACAGACCACACAGTGTCTTTCCTGTCCAGGAAGGGATATTTTGTACATATCTCTACTTCCAAGTAGCATCATTTCAGAGAGAGGGGTGTCTCTGTGTGTGTGTGTGTGTGTGTGTGTGTGTGTGTGTGGTGAGGTACAGGTGGAGGTAGGGAAGATCCTCCTGTGATTTCAGTAGCCAGATTTTGAATCCTGATTGCCACTTGCCCCCTTTTTATTCCCTTTTCTGTACATTAGTTATCTTACCTATAAAAATGGGGAAAATTGGCTTAAATCCTAAATCATGTCCAAAGTCCCTTCTAGTTCTACATTCAATGATCTTAGGATTCTTCCTGAATCTGCTTTCATAGACAGCTCCAAGGAAAGGCATTATAGAAAAGCCACGACTAGTCACAAACAAAGGTTGGCAGCTGCTTTGCACACAACATGCAAAGAAGACTTTTTAATATGATGTTTTGTAGACCAACAAGGTAAAACCTGGCTTCAGGTGCCACCTCTGACACATAGTGACCGTGTAACCCTGGCCAAGTCATTTAAGTATTCTGAACAACTTTATAAGACTTTAAGTTGCACAGAAGGTCACAGGTCCTATTTCTATCCCTAAAAGCATCTATATTTTAATACTAAAAATTTCCATTCTCTGTGAATGAACCAAGTGCCATGTATTACAGCTGTAGCTCATGTTTCAGTTAGGCCCCTGATTACCTGGAAGACTTCTTTCAGTAATAATCCCAAGGTGTTACACCCTCTCCCAGGATTTCCCTCAGAACATCGAACATCATCAGTTTTGAGTTAGAAAGGATTTTAGCCTCCATCAAGACCCCTCCCCAATTTTACAAATAAGGAAACTGAGTCACAGAGAGTTTTTTTTTAAAGTGATTTTCTCAGAGTCATATACACTTCGTTTGTCAGAGGAGGGATTTGAAACTTGGTCTTCCTCATTCTGTCCTGTGCCTTTGAGGGCCATTAGTTCCTGATACAAGATGTTGATATACATTTTACTTAACTTGACCAAAAAAAAATGAAGAAGCTCTTACCTATGTCCTTGAACAATCAGGAAAATTCACTTCCCCTATTCCAGAAGGCATTTAGCAACCTTGATTTCTTGAGGGCACAGTTTCCTCATTTATAAAATAGGAATACTAATAGCACCTTACCTCACAAGGTTGTGTGAGGATCAGATGAGATCCTAAGTCTCAAATATTTGCAAACTTTAAAGCACAGTATAAATGTGAGCTGTCACAGTAGGTCACAACTTCTCTATGAATCTATATTTGGAATCCACGTGAATACCAAACAAAGAATAAGTCCAGTTTTATCTTTGGTGCTACAGATTCCTGTTGTGAAAATTCTTCTTGCCCTTTTAATCCATTTGGCTTTCTCTCTACAACTGTACGAGGGTGGGAATTTCCATCTTAATTCCCACTTTCTCTTGTCAAACCTCTAGATCACCTTTTCCTCCCCCTCTTTTTCTGTTTATTTCTCTGGCTCCTTCTATTGTTACTCCCTACATGCATGGATTTGCTTTGAGAAACTGCATATCATAAAAGCTTCTCTCTTTGGGTCCATGGGCTGCCCCGGACCTCTCTGTCTCTTCTCTCTACATCTTCTCTGGAACTTTAAGCACCCTCTCCTTCAGTAGGATCTTTTTTCTCTAACCTCATCTCTTCTTTGAGTCTATATGACCCTCTTTGTCTCCTCCTAAAGGCCAATTTCTTTATTATTATTATTATTATTATTATTATTATTATTAATTTATTTTTAGTTTTCAACAATCACTTCCATATGCTTTTGAGTTTTACATTTTTCTCCCCCTCCCTCCCCAAGATAGTGTGCAATATGACATAGGCTCTACATATAAATTCCTATTAAACATTTTCACATTAGTCATGTTGTAAGGAAGAATTAGAACTAATAGGAGGAACCACAAGAAAGAAGAAACAAAACAAAACAGAAGGGGGGAAAAAGCAAATAGTATGCTTTGATCTGCATTCCAACTCCATAGATCTTTCTCTGAATGTGGATAGCATTTTCCATCATGAGACTTTGAGAAAGGCTAAGTCTATCAAAGTTAGTCATCACACAACATGGCTGCTACTGTGTACAACGTTCTTCTGGTTCTGTTCACTTCACTCAGCATCAGTCCATACAAATCTTTCTAGGTTTTTCTGAAATCCGTAAAGGCCAATTTCAGAGGTCAGCTCTGGTGTGTGAATTCTATCCTGACACTGGTGCTACAACTTCAAAGCTGGGAACTTGACAGCAAGAATTCATCCCACATCCAGGGGATCTTTAAGACCAGGAAATGAGCCTGCTGTCTTGTTTTTCATGGTGTAGTGAAAAGAATGTTAAATTTGGAGTCAGATGACCTGTATTTCAATTCTGTCTTTAATAGCTGAACAACCTTGGGCAAGTGATGCAACCTCTCTGGGTCTTAGATTCTGCACCTATAAAATTCGAGGTTTGGACCAGCTTTCCTCTAAAGTTATACCTATAATCCTATGATCTTTATTTTCCACTTACTCTTCTCTCCACTTTTTTTTTTTTTTGCATCACAATCACTGCCTAGGAATCAGGAAGAGGAGCTTACTACAAAAAGGCTCTTTCCAATTTAAGAAATCTTTGATTGCAAGCTTATCCATTGCAACCCAATGAGAGGGATATATTAGTTCATATTTACTTAGCTCTTTAAGGTTCACAAAGCATTTTCCTCCCCGTAACCCACTGAGTTAGGGAGGTATTATCCTCATTTTATAAATGAGGAAACTAGGACTCAGCTTAAGCAACTGGCCCAAGGTCAATGTCAGAATTGGGACTTGAACTTGGCTCTTTTTTGACTCCAAGGCCAGTATTCTTGTCACTATACTGAGGTGCCTTTACCCTCTCAAACCTCTTTTTCTTTGACTTACCTTAAACATGAAACAAATTGATCATGTTTCTCAAGCCAAGAAGCAACATGTTGTAGGGGAAAGAGTATTGTTCTAGCAGTCAGCAAAACTAGGTTCAAATTTTGACCTTGATATAGATTAGTTATAGGCCTCTGGACTGACCACATCTTTTTCCTTTACCTTAGTTTCCTGACATTTCAATTGGAGTTAGTAATACATGTACTACCTAATTCACAGAGTTGTTTGTGGGGGAAGGTCTCTATAAATGCGATTATTATTATTGTTATTAGTTATGTTGTTGTTGTTGCCCCGTCATGAGATTGCTATATCACATTGGCCTAGTCACTTGCCCCTCTGGCTTGATCTTTATGTGAACTCAGTAATAGAGAAACAATAATACATGCCACCACAGCACAGGTGTTATATGATGGAGAGAGATGGCTTTTTAAAAGTACTTTGTGCTCTTGGGAAAGGATGGTGCTATAGAAACACATAGCATTATTCATGAAAGTTCCCACTCAGTTTGCTGTTTGTTGCATTCCCAAGTCTCTTCCTCTCCTCATCCTTTGGTAAGTCTTTTCCTCCATGTTGGTTTTGGATTCATCTCATCCCTATGGATTAATCTACGTGTTTCTAGTTTGGATTTCACTGTGTTATTTCCATGCTTCTAACCCCCTATGGCTGCCCCAGTCTGATTGGTCTGTCCTCACAGATGTTTGCAACACCTTCCCATTGAGCATCATCTGTACATTTTAATTCATCTACTGTTTTCTTCCCTCCCCTGCTTCCAGATCATTAATAAAGAAATTAACCAAAACCAGACCAATTCCCAGCAGACACACCACCGGGAAATCTCTCCCAACATACACAGTCTTGTCTTTTGTCCGGGCATCACATTTAGGAATTTCCATTAACTAGTTTTCAGCTTTCAGAATTTATGCTCCAAGCAAAGCCAATTTGCATTAATTCTGCAATTAACATCAGGAGGGGAAAAAAAGTAGCCTAGATATGTTCCTCACACATTCCTTTTTTGTGATGTGTTTATTTGTATGTGCATAGGTAGATATATATGTGTGTGTATGATATATATCTATTACTTTTCTACACCTTCTAATTTAAAGTCTTGATATGGAGCTATTCGAACAAATATTGGCACATAGTAAAAGCTTACTAAATTTATTGATTAATTGACTTCTGGATAGGTAAAAGTTCTTGATTTCTTTTTAGATGATCTTTCTACACCCTGTACTTTTTGAAGTTTGTTTTTTAAACTCTTGCAGAGCTTTTACATTTATCCCTATCAAATTTCATTAGTTTTAGCCCATCATTCCAGCTTGTCAAGATCTTTTTGGATCTGGATTGTATCATCCAGCATGTTTAGCCATCCCTCCCAACTTGGTGTCATTTATAGATTTGACAAGCCTGCTTTCTATTAATTCATACAAGGCATTGATAAAAAAAAATGTTGAATGGCACAACATCAAGAACAGATCCTTAGGGCCCTCTGTTAGAGACTCTCCTCCCCATCCAAGGTTATTTCAACCCTCTAATTCACTCCACTCTTTCAGTAAACCTGTTTGGTACTCAACTAAAAATACTCGCATCCCGTCCACATGTCTCTAGTTTGTTCACAGTATGCAACGAAAGACTTGCTTACCTTGATCCAGCAACATATTTTACAATATCTGTGGCATTGTCCTGATCTGTTAATCCCAGCATTCTGTCAAAAAATAGCTTAATTTAGTATATTCTGGTCTAAATAAGACCATGCTAGCTGTAATTTTCCTTTTCCCTTTCTAAATGGTCATTAACCAACCCTTTAATAATGTTAGGTTTCAGGATTTCTAAAGCCCTTCTAGCTTCAACATTCTGTAAGTCATTTTTAAAAAAAAAATTATTTCTTTTTTATTTTCATCATTCACTTCCACAAGATTTTGAGTTCCAAATTCTCTCCCCATCTCATCCCTTCCCCACCCAAATGTAACTCCTTTTGATCCCCAGCATTGTTCTGAGGCCACATCTATGCTTCACAATTTTTTTTCCCCAAAGGATTTGACCATCCCATATATAACTGGGTGGTGTTCACAGTGTCTAAACACCACTCATTTTGGAGTCAGAGAACCTGCCATCATATCCTGACTCTGCTCATACCATCTTTAGCAGCTCTGTGTTCAACCACTTTGGACTTCCATTTCCTAGTTTATAACCTAACCCTAACCCTAACCCTAGTTTATAAAATGAAGGGGATGGTTTCCTTGAGAAGAGATGCCAAGTCTTACCTAGACTTTCTACCTTCCTCAGTACTAAGCAGTTCTCTGTACACAATAGATAATTAATGCTTGTTGAGTGAATTAATATATTTATGATATATATTCAGAATTCAGTTAATATCAAGAGATAGAAAATGGCAAGTCTGTCCTTCAAGGAGCTCACAACCTAATGGGAAGAGAATGAGGCATGAACACAGATGAATATAATTCAATTAAAAAATGTTCCACTGAATAGGCAAGGTCAGAGAGACCTGAGAGATTTAAAGAGGAAGAGGTTATTTCTAGTTGGAAGGCTTTATGGAGATAGTGTCACTGGGGCTGGATTTTGAAGGAGGAGAATTTCACTAAGTGAAAATTGGCTGGGGGGTGGTTCTGTTCTAAATATTGAAGGGCTGTCATTTGGAAAAAGGATTAGACTTCTGCTTGACTCTAGAGGACTGATCTAGGAACAGTTGGTGGAAGCTGCAGAGAAGCAAATTTTGACTCGATATGAAGATGAACTTCCTAACAGTTAGCACCATCCAAAAATGTAATGGGGGAGGCACCTACCAAAAGGGAGGAGGTTTCCTCTCTGTGAAGATTTTTACTTATCAGGGTTGTGTTCAAAGATGGTTTGCCTCTCACCAGTTCCTCTCAACACTGAGCCTTGGTGATTTAATTAAGTGATTTCTCTGAGCTCCATCCCAGCTCTGATATTCTGTGCCTGATTCTCTCACTTCGGTGAGGCTAGAGATGAAAATACAGCATACATATGCTGTATATGACAATACAGTCTATGGTGGGACTTCCCTTATGGAGCAATGACTAAGAGTAGGATTCACCTTCACCTTGTGTACTTTAATGATAGTGAAGGCATAGTGCAGAAATACTAGCAGTGACTTGAAATCCCTTGAAATTGTCTAGTGGCCTGGCCTCATAGGAGCTTGCTCCACCTGCTGTATGATTATAATTCTATCCTTGAACTAAGTACTAGTATAGCCTCTGGAAATAAACTCTCTGTGGAATTT